CACGTTTGAAACTATAGATTGGGATAAAAAAAGAGAGTACGAAAATTTCGTTTCAGTGGCACTTTAAGGTGGGAAGATAAGTTTATTCATATACCAAGAAACCAACCAAACAACTCCAAAAATTCTGCTCCTCCTACACCCCCTACCTCTACACGTGGTGCTAGTTCACCCTGCGTTCACCATTTTGTCGTCAGTTTTTCCTTACAGTTTCTCATCACCATTTTAACTCCTGAGGGGAGGGGCACACAACACAATGACAACAGCAAGCATAAAATTAGCTATACTAGAGTTACTACTCGCCTCCCCAAGAAAAGGTAAGTCCTTGACAGAAGGCAAATTAAGACGACCGTGATAAGCATTTTCACTATCTTCTGATGAGGTATATTGTCTATTCAAACCTATAGTCATATTTGCTTGGTGTAATTTGGTTTTCTGTAGATTTGAGAAAAATAATCACGTCCCTTGTAGAACATAATTTGGTGCCCGATGTTTGAACCCTGAAAACAAACAATTCTCATGTAAGAGAACTAAACCATCCAACTACACCATTGAAATAATGAAAAGAAAAACCCACAAGAATCAACTGCTTATTTACTACAAGTCACTTAGCTACACGGATAACATTTGTACACTGACATCCATAAAGATGATTATGTCAAACTGCATGTACTGTAGATAATTTTAACATTATTTCGAGCTTTAGAGTGACAGACGGACTTAATATGCAACACTCTTGTACCTCCAGGGTCTCTTGTCCAGCAAATGAAGTGGTCAGGATTTCTTTTGTACTGGATGAACTGTGTCATGACATAATGACCAAGATCAAGCTCTTGAAATCTTTCCAAATTCAAACCTTGCTCAAAGTGCAAGAAAATGCAATCAGGCATTCTGTGGAGGAAAAGAAAGGACTCTAAATTAAATCTCAAAAGTACTGACATGCTTGATATTTAAACAAAGTGAAACCTCCAGCATGGAGTGTTCTTGAGACTTGAAAAGTGTCTCCATTAGAAAAGGTGTCTGCTAAAGAAGGATAAAGATACATCCTGAGTGTCTGCATAGAAGTGTCTTCCAATAGGAGGTGTTCCTCAGGAGAGGTTCAAAAATATCTTAAAAACTCTAACCTCACATGACAAAAGACCTATCTTGAATCTACATTTCACGATCAGTCTAAACTGTAAACAATCTTCATAAGCACCAAACATCATAGCATCAGGATAACATTGATAGAACAGAACACACCTGTCAAATAAAAGTCTACTTCTCTGCTCAGGAACTCCACATTTATAGCATGGTCGTGTAAATACAAGATTCTGCAGACTGAAGTCTTCTGTCACATTTGGAAAAGTTGCCAAGTGCTTTTTCCTCCTTAAGAGTAAATGATAGACTTAAGTCAGATCAATATACATGTGGTACAAAATAGTATGAAGTCTGAAGATTATGCAGTGTTGTCAAGAGATGTTAAAAGTGGACTGAGAGACATTAAAATTTCCATTTTTCACCCCTATAGGTGTGACTTCTAAATTTTAGTAGCTGCCATCCTTACGTTGGGTAAGTTCTTCTCTCTTCTCTCTACTGGAAAGCTAACTTGATTAAAAACCAGAATCTCTAAAAAATTATAACATAAAATGTATGAGGCAGAAAGGAGGATGTTTAAAACAATACTCACAAATAACTCACACAAAACTGGATAAGCCAAGAAAACTAGGTTTTGACCTTACTTGTTAATTTGATGATACCCACAGGTAGTACAGTTAAATTCCCACTGATAAACTTGAAGCATTTTTTCTGATAATACGCTATTTTCCCGTAACAGAAGAGGCAATGCCATTACTGGGCTGTCATTCACTCCACGTTCACACTTCATCTTGGGCTTTAAATAGTTCCACACCTTCTCTCTCACATCATATAAATCCTTCTCTGCCTGTTCTCTGTTTCTTGTTAATAACTCTTGTGCCTTGTTGAAGGATTTGGTCAATGTCCTTAACACTGAGTCCACATTTGGGGGAAGTATTTTAACATAAGTGTTCAAGGTTGCATTGTTGACAACTAGAGACAGCAGAGAATGAAGCCAACAAAGTGAATCAACATTCTGCCATTGCAGCAAATGCTCAGGACATGTGGACTCTGGAGAAACATTTTCAGGTTCCTGAAATGTCAAGAAGCATCATTTTTAAAAAAAAAAAAATATGAACATCAGATGAAGGGCAAGAATTCAAGCACCTTGAGAACCCATTGTATCTTAACACAAGCAACATCATGTCACTCGTGCTTTAGAGTGAATATCGCTGATACATGTAGTTGAGCTTGTGTTTCTGTTTGTTTGAGCTCAAGCTTGTATTTGCAACAACCTCATCATGCTGGTTACCATATCATGCCATTTGCTTTGGTTCTAGATTAGTAATGCACCTCAATGAACAAAACCCCCAAATAATGATTCTTTTGTATTCTTTTCCTTGTAAGTTTGATAATGTGGCAATATTGCAAAACAAATTTTGACCACACTCCCTCTTTGTAATTAAAGTTGCAAAATGAAAAAAAAAAGAAGACTACACTGCACTCTTCATGTGGTTTTTGCTAAAACAATCTTCATGAGGAGGAAAAAAATAAAGGCACTTTCCAACCTGAACAATGGTTTCAAACTAATAGCCTCAGAAAAAATTTGCTGGTTACCAAGGAAATTAACAACATGACCATCTGGTTAATAACTTCAAAACCTATACACTTTGACAAGTGCTGGAAACTTCAAAACCGAGAAAGCTTGCTCTCAGATTTGGGCAGAAACAGCTTTTCCTAGTTCCACAAAGCCTAACCTCTCAAAATCATTAGACTGCACAAAAGAAAACAAGGCATTTGTCGCAGAGAATGTAAAGTGGTAAACTGTTGGAGTCTGGCTCCACAATTTGACAAGATATTTTCAGCTGTTTCAAATCTCCTGAATTTACTGAATTCTACACGCAACTCAAAGTTTCACCATAAACAAGGCAGAGTCAAACTGAGATTACAACTTACCTCTGTTTCTCTTGGTTTTGACTTTTTCTTCCTTCTTCTCTTCAAGTTTAAGAACGAGTTGACCTCCGAAGCTTTGCGACTCACGATTAAGTTGGCATTGTCCGTAACTCCAAGAGGATACACGCACTGCAAAAAAGCAAAAAAGCAAAAAGCACAACTCAGCCACCAAATTTTGCTACAGATACTTTGTAAAATACAACGGAAATAAATAAAAAGCAAAAAGATACAGCACAGACCTCCTTGTTTTCACACAACAAAATCGCTTCTTCCAAATTCAACTGGAATAGAACAAGCTGTCTTTTCAGGCCATTCGCCTGGCAAAGCCCGCAGAACTTTTCTGTCATCTGTTTGCTCGGTGGCTAATACAGCCGTGGCCGTCCAAAACTTGCTTACAACCTACAGTTTAGCAGATCTTTACACGTTTGAAAGCCATGCTTTTCCGAGATCAAGAGCACATGTAAAAACACCGCCATCAAAACGTTCGGTGTCGTTCTGAGGTTGGTACTCATGACATTACAGTAATAACCGCTGACAAATGAATTAGCGGAAAATATGTTAATTAGAGCCCATAATGCAACTCGGCTCCTGTCCATCTTGCCATGCTCCCCCTCTCTCTAGATCTCTCTCAAAAAGTCAAACCAAGCTATAATAGATTCTCTCAGCGACGGCATTATCCCGACATTTTATCAGGAGACCCCACGTTTATAAATGTATTATTTTTGTTTTATTTTCATAAAAAAAAAGAAAACAAAAATAACAGTCATAATAGCAAGCTTGCCTTACGGTGTGCTAAGTCGGTTAGATATCAGTGATGTCACCTATTGTTTAATGTTATTAGAACAGTATGGCCTGTTCCAGGCTCTCGGTAGTTAGGGACTGTAGAAAAGCGCAAAAAGAGGCGAAGGAGAGCAAAAACGAGAGGAGACTGAGGCGAGGAAGGGAGAGGAAGGAGAAAGCATGAACACACGTGTTTGTGCCCTGGGATTCCTCCCCCGGGGGGTGGTGAACTCTGTGGAAGTGATCATTAGTATGTGTGTCGAATGGGAAATTGTAAATTTCGTTGCGAAACTCACATTGATGATGCGATGGATCGTGGAAGTTTCGCACGCAATCGAGTTCACATTCAGTGAGCGGCCGTCTTTGAGAGAAAGTCTGCGGGCATATCACAGACAAAACTCAATGGGTGTTCTCCTTATTATGCCAAACCGACCGGTCAGATCGAGATCAGTGGGAATACCCGAGGAAAATGGAACGACTTTTCCCGATTAAACTGGGCCAACCAAGAGGAATGGCTCTTACCATCTCCATTTGACTTCCAAATGAAATTTCCGGAATCTTTGGCATAATGGAAAGCACCCCATAGTAACTTAACGTTGTTTGACCAAGATGACATTTAAGTCTATGCCTCTGATAGCTTTTTTTCGAAGCGAACCACATAAGGATCAGGCTATGCTTTGCCTCTTTTCACTCTCGGTGTGAACCGGCCCTTTATGTGCTGATAGAATTCGGGATCTCACTCCATTTAATATTTTAATTAAAACTAATAATATCCTTGTTCAACCACATTTTGATTATTGCAATGTGGGCCTTTCTGAAAAACTCCAAAGGCTTCAAAATCGCGCAGCTCGCACCCTAATGTCTGCGAGCTATGATGAGTAATTTGGGTGGTTTGTTCCGGGTACTGGGGTGGCGAAGACTCTACTATCAAAGATTGAAACAGAAGTCTATCCTAATGTATTAAATATTACATGGTATGACACCTGATTATCTGAGATCAAGATTCATGTATCGTGACAGTACAGTGTAAGTGTTTTTATCGTTTAAGGAATACCGAAAACAAATCAGATCTTCCACAACCTCGAACTGATTATCTCAAGAGAAGTTTTTCGTACCGTGAGCGGAGTTCAGCTGTGGAACAACTTACCAATAGACCTAAGACAAGCATCTTCACTGACCGATTTCAAATGTAAATTAAGTCGCCAAAGTTTTAAGTAATATCTAAATTTTGAGTAAATTTTTAGACACGGCCTCCATGAAAAGCATTTTTTTTA